GCCTTGGTCCGTCCAGACTGCGCATGCGTGGTGGCGGCGTGTGCTCTTCGCACCATTTGTGAGTCTGCGCGCAGTCTGGCTCCTGCCAGTTCCTCCTCAGACCCCATTGAGTTACATAGCGACCGCGCTGTTTTTAAGCGTGGGTTGCGTTCGTAACTTGGGGACCCCTTTATGACCGCTCCATGAGAGCTTTGGTCATAAATGCGAACAGATGTAACTCGACCGTTTGCAACTCGGGGACCGGCTGTAGTCATTTACTAACTCTTAGTTTACTTTAAAAAAAAAAATCTCCGACGTGCTGGGGTCTCCTGGTTTTAAGAAATGTGTGGCATGCCACGACACAATGCCGGCATCGGACGGACACTCAACCTACATAAAGTGCTTGGGCGAGTGTCATATCCCTCAGAAATGCCCGCACTGTAGTAAGCTGACGGCTCAGGCCAGGCATGACCGCGAGTTGTGATTTAAAATGCTCTTATTCAGTAAGGCATTTCAGCCTACTGATACCGGGCTGCTCAGATCGCCAACGTCCGCAGGAGCACCATCGGGCAAGAAGTCACCCGTCCAACACTCATCCTCCTCTCGGAGAAGTGTGAGATAAGCCTGGTATTTCAGGATGGACCGTAGTCCGACATGCTGAAAGGCACAAAACAAGACGCAGCATATCAGAGCTGAGTCCGACTCTTCATAGGGAATCAGCTCTGGCACCGGCCACAGTTACACGGCCTCACTCCACCCTGGCACTGACAAAACAAAAGTTGGCGTCACTGACCACTAAGGCACCATCGGCGCCGATCTCGGCACCGACACCCGCAGTCACAGCGGCATGAAGCCCGATAGCCCCGGGCACTACGGCACCATCCACGAGTGGCTCATCTACAGCAAGCTTGGCACCAATTGTCACGACGGCACCGAGTACAGTGGCACTGGGCTCACTTGAATTATCGGCACTGCACACAACAGCGCTGCCCCTATTCCATCGTCGGCACTGGTACAGCATGCACTACAGCCCGGCGGACACCCTTCCCCGGTGCCAGGGAAAGCCAAACACAAATCCAGAAGGATAATAATGCCTTCTCTAAGGCTGGAACCAGCTGTCTTCTCCTCACAACTGCGGTCACCAGCCTCTGTTTTCTCAGTGCCACTACAACATGACAGGCAGATCTCGATCTCCTAGATCACCCACACGATCTTTGTGCTCCAGATACTGCTACAGGGCTAGAAGAAGGTGCTCTCTGGACTATTCCCCAAGAGGGTATTACCATGACTGATACCATTGACATTGAGACTACCGCTACTGGCACCACTGTTCTTCAAACCATTCTTCTTCAAGTTCTCTGCAACACTACCAACAGCGATCACATAGTAGTGTTAGGTTACCAACACCTCCTCAACCCCCTATCAGACCACCTACACCTTCCAGAGATGTTCCTCTGCCAGCATGACACCAAGCCCAGTAGAATCACCGGCATCTGAGCATACGCCGTCCCAAGTGCAGTCTCTGACTGACCAATCTTCTTCCTCACCGGACGATGCAGATTTTCCTATTGACTCTTTTCCCACAGATGACATTTGTTAAGTCCATGACCTCTTTAAGAGAGTAGCAGAGTCGCAAGAAATGTAACTGAGTGAGGTTCCGCAGAAAGCAAGGAGTTTAACTGAGTGAGTTTCAGCAGAAACGACACCGCCTCCTGAAAAATCTTCAACCATCACAAAAATCCAAAATGGCATTGCCATTAGACGACGCAATTCTAGAAACCGCAAATGAGATTTGGCAGACACCAGCTTCCTCTCAGGCCAAACATAAGAGAGCGGACAAGAAATATTTTGTTCCCTCAGTAAGGCCATTCTGATGTTCTTATATAGAGCTGAAATTTATCTTCCCCCTTGCTGTAATGCACTAGACTCCACTCCCCTTCCAGATCTGAGATAGAGCCCAGGAGTCCTGATGGGATCTGTCTCTCTCCACAGAGTTAGTAACAGAGTAAGAATATACATGAAAATTTTAACCCTAACCAGTGTCCCTTAAGTGACTTGCCACAAGATGTCAGAATACGTTAATGTTAGAGCTGAATGCGTCTAATATTTATTTAA